TCTCTCTCTCTCACACACACACACACACACACACACACACACACACACACACACATATTCGTGACATATAATCATACATGATTCCCTAACACCCGCTCTCATAAATACCTCTCTGTATTTTCTATTGGTTGATAGAAAATTCAGCCCAGACTGACTAGAGCTGAAAGGGAATTGATCTATCAGGCATTGGGGCATTAGAGGCTGCAGCTGCAACTTCTGGCCTCACCCCTCCTGAATTCAAGTTCAGCAGGAAAGCAAGATGATCTCATAGGTCACGTGCCCAACTCTGAACCAATCACTGAGGAAATGAGTGCTGGATGGTTAAAACCTGTGGCCTTGCCCAGCTCGGTGGTTCAGCCTGTAATCCCGCGCCTTTGGGAGGCTGAGGTGAGTGGATTGCCTGAGCCCACGGATTCGAGACACGCCTGGGCAGCGAGAGCTCATCTCTACAATAAATAAAAAAAAAAATCAGCTGGGCGTGGTAGCACATGCCTGTAGTTCCGACTGCTTGGAAGGCTGAGGCGGAAGGATCGCTGGAGCCCAGCAGGTCGAGGCTGCAGTGGCCGGGAGTGGCCACTGCACTCCAGTCTGGGCGACCGAGTGAGACTCCAACTCAAAAAAAACCCAACCCAAAAAAATCACCTGTGGCCTAGATGCAGGTGTCCCCTCCGAACTTGAGAGGAGACCTCCAAGGGAAAAGGTGGGGGATGGGCTCAGGACGGCAACCCCATCAGAGTGCACAGCCCAGAGCAAACAGAGGAATCTTCTCTTTACTTACCCACCTTCCAGACAGATTTTGAATTCCCTGAAAGTGGGCCAGGGACTCTTATCTCCATAGCACCTTCCCTGGATATTTTGTTCTCAGGAGATGAATGATATTGAGCAAATGATATTTTGAACAAATGATAAATGGTGACACAAAATGTTCAAAGCAAAGGAGTTTATAGTCTAGTTCAAGAGTCAGTATTTATACAATAAAAATCAATTAACTGCATAAGGTCACTTAAGTGCCAAATGAGTGATTTGAGTATTAAGTGTCAAAGAGATTCAAAGAAGGGGCAGTTTTGGAAGTTGATAAAAAGACGTATATCCTGAACTAGAGAAACTCAGTTTCTGGTGGGAAAGAAAGATGTTACACACACACACACACACACACACACACACACACACACACACACACACACACA